GAGAGTGCTTCTCAGTTATTAAATACAAAACTCTATGAAGAAAGAATTTTAAAAAACCAACAGCAACTGAACGTGGCTGTAGTAACGACTTAAAGCACCTCGAGGGAGGGAAGGAAATGCAGAGTTTCGACCATGAGTTTAAAAACCAGCATGATTTTAAAATATTAAAACATTGTTCAGTTTGTTGTCCAGTTCATTTTGAGCCCATGAAAGGGGGGACAGTAACAGTAACAGTAAATGCAAAAATATTTGTAAAACCCTTTAAATTAAAACTCAGTCTGCCCTTTAATCACATCTTGATTGAAGGTGCAAAACTTCAGCTTTTGTCCAAAAAATTATGGACCCAGCTGTACCAGAGAACCAGACCTGCAATATACTACCATAAAAATTCTGTTTCAGTGCAGTTTAGTTTGCAGACTAATATCTGCTGAAAAAAAACTTCAGTGCCAGTTAAGTAAATTACTCAAGACTCGAGTCATTTTTAAATATGTAGATCTTCAGTAGGAACCATTTGTCTTGGGGCTTATGCCACATTAATACTATATTGAGTTTCAAAGCTCTAAATAACATTCCCACCAGCTTCCAAGTTGGTGGCTTCTGCTATCTTTTATGGTGTGGTCTGCTGGGGCGGCAGCATCTCTGCTGGGGACAGGAAGAGACTGAACAGGGTGATCCGAAGGGCCAGCTCTGTTCTAGGATGCCCTCTGGACCCAGTGGAGGTGGTGAGTGACAGGAGAACGGCGGCTAAGCTGTCATCCCTGATGGACAACATCTCCCACCCCATGCAGCAGACTGTGACAGCACTGAGCAGCTCCTTCAGTGGGAGACTGCGGCACCCACGGTGTGGGACGGAGAGATTTCGCAGGTCTTTCCTCCCCACTGCTGTCAGACTCCACAACAAAGACTTTAACTGAACAAACACACACATCCACACATGTGCAATAACACTAAGTGCAATAATCTTTTCTGGCATCGTTGTATTTTTACTCAGTTGTATATAGCATTCGTATTCTATTTTTATCTTATTGTATATTTTTATTCTATTTTATTCTACTGTATATAGTATATTATTTTATTCTATTCTGTACAGCTGTGTACTGTATTTATTCTTATTGTATTCTAATTTTTGCGTCATAACTTTTGCACTGTCCACTTCCTGCTGTGACAAAACAAATTTCCCACGTGTGGGACTAATAAAGGTTATCTTATCTTATCTTATCTTAATTACAACTGGGAAACTCAGAGTTTTCGGAAACTCCAACTTAAAACTGCGGAACTGTGTGAAAGCCTGTCACAGATGCCTCACCAAGTACCCCATTTGGGGTAATTAAAGTAAAACTCGCTACATAGTGTTATCTATTAACGTCCTGACTTTTTTCTGTGAGGTGAGCACTCAGAAGATGAATCTTTTTTTTTTTTCCATGAACTCATTAAATAAAAAAAATAATAAAAGAGATCTATTGCCAGTCTTATCCTTTAATTACATCTCAATGACATTACTCTTGTACTACTTCTTAAGGAAATGTTTGAAGGCAAAACTTTTGTTTTTGGATTAGAATACTTCTTCAAGTATTTCCTCTTTGCCCAAACGCCTCAGTTAATCTTCAGACAAAGGTAGGGTGAGTTAGTTTGTATCCTTGAAGAATTAAAACTGTGAAAACACGCATTAGAAATGCTGTACCGATGTATTAATAAATATATAAAACCTCTGAAAGCAGGAGTCTTTCTAAAAACATTTCTTCACCCACATAACTGTCATGAGGAGCACTTGCAGCTGCACAGACTGAGGAGACGAACGAGTCTGCACGTTCCCATCTGAGTTTCACGTGTTGGTGCACAGGTGGTACGACGATTTCTTCATGTGACAGCTTGATTTAAGTGAACAGGGGCGCTAATGGTCAGCAAAGCATCAACAGAGCCTCTTCATAAATGTTTCACCTCCCTCCGGAGCACGCATGCACGTGACTGCATCAGTGAGACCAGCGCGTTGCTCTCTCCAAAGACAGCAGAGTTCTTACAGCTCGAGGGGAAAATCCTTAGACAACACCACTGATGAGAAGATACGTGTGGGTGTGTGCACTTTACTTCAACCATTCAGACACTGCGATCAGAGGCTGAGTACTCACACCACCTAGTGGCATTACGGCCTTGAATCCTTTTGGTTTTGCTTTTTGTCAAGAAGTTGTAAAAACAAAACAATTCTTGCACCTGCAAGCTAATCACCTATTCACTCCCTCCACATACAACAAACTGTGAGATAAAGCATCAAATGGAGCCGCAAGGAGTCAAAAAAAAAAAAAAAAAAAAAAAAAAAAAAGCTGCATTTTGCCGAAGTAATTCCCATAATTAAAACCGCAGAAACCAGAACACAGCGGTTTCTGAAAATCTAAAGCAGCCTGTGCGCAAGGGGAGATGCTGAAAAGACAAACGAGTCAAGCCAGGAGGAAATGTGTCCAGATATGGAGAGGGATGAAAGAATGAATGCTGGGAAGGGGAAAAAAACAAACAAACAGAAAAACAAAAAACAGTTGTAGTTGCTCGCCGTAGGCTGCGCAGCCTCACTGAGAGGGTTTGGACTGACAAGTTGGAAACGTTAATCTCATGCCTCTGCATTCTCCTTTTCCCCATTTTTCTCCTCCCTCACATTCACCAACAGCGGAGGACATCCTACGAATCTTGTTAAGCTATTGGAAATGCTGCGTTTTTCCTCTTTGTTTACTCATCCACTTCCTTGCCACATCGATCATCACAGAGGGAATGCTCTCTCTGCCTCTGACCTCCCACTACTGAGAAACTGCCATGAAAGCTATAATGTACAGCAGGCGGATGAAGGCAGAGGTGCCCATTGTCTGCAATCATGCGTTTTAGAATTTTAATCTGCTCTTCTGCCTGCATCTAATCATGTATTTGCATGTTGGGCAACAAAACATAAAGACATAATTACATGTTATCTGTGCAATGTTTACTCAACATGTTTCCCTGTCTTGACAATTCCTGACGCTTCACATTTCGAGGCAGCGTTTGTTGAATCGTGGTTGACACAGCTGTCGCCTGTATGAAATCAGTGTTGTCAGATAGTATATCACTACATTCCCCTCGTTCCCCAAGCTATTTGTAAGTTTGACTCTTGGCTAGCAACTGCAACAAGAATCTTTTGTTTCCATTATGCAGCAGTCAGTCAAGCTGAGGGGCCACGTTCACAAACTGTCACCGCTGAGTGCTGTTAAGTATAGTGACCATGCTTTGGACTCTCACTCTATCCCAGCCAGTTTGTCAGGGATGAGCGAGATCCAGGGGGTTTTGCACATCCACACGCACACAGGCACAAACTGGGATACAAAGTTAAGCATTCAGCAGCTGCTACACATACATGAATACAAAAAGGAAGCTAAACACCACTTGTGTTTAGTAAAGTGTTCACCTCCCGTAGCTCTGAATACATTAACATTTTTTAACTTGCTCAGAATGAAAGAAAATAGAAGGAAGAAACCACATAGGGAGTGTACTGAAAGTAGCAACTTTTTTTTTTCTTTTTTGAGATACAACTATTTACATGTAACCAAAGACAATGTCCTTGAAAGGGGTACAAACATTTTTTTCCTCTTCCTGCAATTTTTGTTTTTAAAACAACTCAGAAATATTGTATAAAATAAAAATATCAGCTTCAGGGGAAAAAAGTAGTCTAAGCATCTGAAATGTCCATTAACTGGTATGTACAGGAGTATTTACATTCGGACCAGATTTTTTTTTTTTTTTCTCAAAGTGATTAACAGTAAAATGCAGTTGCAGTTCTGTTCACTGCAGCCCTACAAAGCAGATAAAACTAACGTTTTTACAGGTATGGCTGTCATTCAAATCAGTGATCGTACATGTGAGCAGTACAAGACAGAGGCTTTTCCAAGGATCAGGTCAACATCATCATCAAGGCTTAAATGACACCAATATAGAATAAATAAATGGGAGCTTAATGCATGTTATCCAATGCAAACATATCATGAGCAAAAACATGAAGCTGCTTGTGGCTGGACACAGGAAAATATTAGACTCCCCTAACCAGTGTTGGTCAAGTTACTTGAAAAAAGTAATCAGTAACGAATTACTGATTACTTCCCCAAAAAGTAATCTCATTACTTTACTGAATACTTATTTTCAAAAGTAATTAATTATTTAGTTACTTAGTTACTTTTTAAAAACACGATTTACAACCTGAATAGGTGATAAAGTGATAGATCTTTCAGCCCAATTCTACTTTTTCTGCATAATCCATCATACAAAATGTTATCAAATGGAAAAGTCTCTTTTTAAAACTTGTTTTATCAGTTTTAATCTTTTAACTTTATGCATCAAGCAAAAATTTAATTATATGTAACATTCTCTGACTGGAAGAAATTTGTTTAATATTTAAACCTATTTTCTGCACATTCCAGCACATAAAATACATTTTTTTTTGTGTTTACACTCAGTCTTTCAAATAGATGCAAGTAAAACACAGCAGAAAATAAATAAAGTCAAAGACTCAGCGGTCCTGTTGCTCTATTTTCACCTGTAAAGCAGGAGTGGCATAGGTGGAGGTTTACCCTGGTGCAGGTGTGCCGCAGTGGTCAGTGGAAGAATCCGCGAGTTTCTCTGTGAGTTTCTCATTACGTCGTAGCTACTCGGTGCTTGCTTGGAAGTTTAGGGGTTTTTTTTCGCTGTAAAAAAGTTTTCTTCCCACGCACGATGGACGCTAATGTTTTTGTCACTTTTTATGGAATCAAACTCAAAGTAAGGTCAGTACTTCCACGCTTTAAACGCTGCACGCTCATACTCTCTCCCACACTCAATATATGATCCATTGTTGATCTGCACACAGCTGTTGTCACGAACGTCGCACTCGCTTACGTCACTGTCATGACATTCTCGAAAAAAAAAAAAAAAAAAAAAAAAAAAAAAAATCACGGTTTTAGTAACGCAGTGTTCCTACGGGAAAGTAACGGTAATCTAATTACCGTTTTTGCAATAGTAATCCCTTATTTACTCGTTACTCGAAAAAAGTAATCGGATTACAGTAACGCGTTACTGCCCATCTCTGCCCCTAACCCCATCCCACTTATGTTGATCAACATGTGCATAATATTTTAGTGATTGATGTTTAAAAACTACAATTTAAGCATAAATTTAGCCACTCAGATGTGCTGTGCCCAGCCACACAGCTGTATCACAAGGGGTGGATTATAATGAGCCGATGTTGGACACAACTGGGATCTCATTACGTAGGCTTTGCATTTTACACAAGAGGAGAACGCATTAAATTAAATACATTAAAAATAACTTCATTACAAACATAAAGGAAGCACAACAATCATAATTTTGAGTAATCCATCACGTTATACCAGTGAGTTTAAATGCATACTCTAATTACACACGGCTGAATTAAATGAACTTTAAATAATCTAAACAAACTAAAATGTGAGCAAACAGACAACGGCTGAGAAGAATTCTAACTTTTAGAAAAGCTCGTAATTTTCCGAGTGCTGTCACCAGTCAAATAACGGACATCCTATTAAAAGTCAGTATGTCACGCAGTCCTGATTTCTTTAACAGTAACTCATAATTTTGGTAGAGAAATGCCCTCAAGGCAAAAAGAAAAATCTAAAAATATAATGAGCCAAAGCCTACAAAAATCAAGCTCCCAAAAATTACTCGGCACAAAATGAAAAGCTTAGAAAATAAGCTAGAAATTCGATTTCCCTTAAACATTCAAGCCAATTGCAAATGTGTAAGTCAATGGGATTTTGCATTCAAAAATCATTCCATACAGGTTTTACGTACAGACACATCATTCAAACGTCTGTGAAAATGATTTCATGCTAATCTATGATTTCACCCTTGGCTTGGACGTGGACACGCACAGAAGAAAATGTAATGATCCATAAAATTTGATTCAGTGGTTCACACTCCAGCTAAGCAGCCAGAAATCAAGACCCAGCAGCAAACGGGAGACTCCTCCTCAGTGGCCTGCTACCGTCACACATCTCGGGACGATGTGTGAAGACGTCTGCTTCGTTTAACTTTCCGCGGATTACGGGGATGTAGCCTCGCGCCTGCCCGATTCTCACCTGAGGATGAATCTGGATCTGACTCTAAATGGGCTGTTAGCCGAGTGGAACTGAAGTTGTCTGCATGTCTGTCAGCTAGCAGGGCTTTGGTTCGGGTTGTGCTCCAGACAGGGAGTGAAACTTGTGTATATCTGTATGCGTGTGTTTACGCACATGTCAGTGTATGCCTTTTTTCCTCAGAGTTTAGAGTGATCGCAACATCTGCTGATCAGGTGAAGTCAAGAGAATGCTGCTAAGACTCCAATGGCCCCTTGTGGCTTCTAATGGGTAGTGGAGAACAAGAGTAACCTGGAAACCGTTTAATGTGCAGTCGGAGTAAGAGCTCGATAGTTTGCTGTCTGTTAACAGTGCTCCAGGTAGTCGATGACCCGTGAGATGGACTTCTGTCCTGTGGTGCCCATTGCACACTGTGTGGAGACAGAACAGGAAAAACAAAAACAAGTGTGTGAGGATGCCAACAACTTTACTTGTGAGGTCTCGATGCAAACACTGATGATAACAGGATGCTTCTGTTCAAAGGGGATGTTTATGAAACAGATGGTTCCAATCTTCAGCTCTGACAGGATGTGTCACAATCAAAGCTGCTGCAAAACACACATCTGTGGCGTGGTAGTGCTAGCATCACAGGAATCCTTGAATTATTTGAAAATTATGTTTTGCAAATTTTATCATTTCGATTATGCCTCTTGGACATAAAAAAATATTGAATTGTTAATAATCTGTTGAATACATTTAGTATTATAAAGAAGTAGTACTTCATAAAAGCCAAGTGCTACTATAAGCTTTTTATTTTTTGGAAGATGAGCAACAATCAGAAAGGCTTTCATTTATTCATCTTTCAAATGTTTTGAATTCCTAAGTCATTTCATTAATAAACAGAAATAAAGGCTCAGCATTTCACTCACTTTCTAGGGGGTTCTGAAAGGAGCTGAACTGAGCTATAGAAAAACTGCAATTATTTGAAACTAAAAGGGAAAATGTGGTATTGTACAGAATTACTGGGCCTCAAGAATGTTTATTTCATCCAAGCCACTTCACGGCACAAAAATGTGCTTTTGCTCAATGGGTCCAATTAAACGGCTTTTTGTATCTTCAGTTTAATTTGCCTGAAGCCAAGGATTGCATCAACACTCAGAGGCGTTAGGAGGAGGGGAAAAAAAAGGACGAAGACCTTCAGTGTCAGTATTTTCACTACACTGTCACTAAAATATAAGTATTTTTTGTTTGTTTGTTTTTTAAGAAAAACACTTTGATTTGTTGAGCCTGTATAATTCATCATGTATTTGCATAACTGTAGATCATTTTAAACTTCGTCAATCTCAACATGCATCATCACGTAACACTGATAACAGAGGGCTGATCTGAATAGTCACACTCACAGTGAGGTTCATGAAGCTCAAGAACTTCTTCAGCATTTCTGTCATGATGGAGAAATCTCCTTTAGGTAGATTTTCTCTCACAGTAGTCACATTAATCTGAGGATGGCAAAAAAAGGAAGTGAGCAACAACACATATTATAGATTTTTTTTAAAGATCTGGACAAAACAAAATGTATAAATCTGCACCGGTTTTTACCTGGCTGCCCTGACAGAGGCAGCCCAGCAGCAGGGCTGTGTATGAAGCAACAATGCTGTCCTCCATATGCTTGCCTGCGTGCTGCAGAGCTGCAGTAACCACAAAGGAGAAAGACAAGGTTTCCCAATATATATTTAGCTGTAATTCACTGATCAGCTCACCCAACACTTCTACACAGCATTAAAAACAATGAGTCCATGATGTTCACAAGAGTAACATTAACTCCTGTTTTACAGTGCTCATGGAGGTCACATTCAAAGGACTAGCAAGTACTAAAGAACAAAGGTTTGTATTTCGCAACCTAAACTTCAATGGAGCTGCAAAAACTAATCAACTGTAACAATAGCTGGACACAGGTTTCATTATTCATTAGCAAAGCCTGTTATGATGCAAAGCATGCGCTGTGGCAGAAACTAACGACGCAGCTGAGAAAAGCATCAAGGCTAAAGCTAAACAGATTAAAGTGTAGAAGTCAATTTGCCAAAAATCATGGCAGCACTCTACATCAAAGCCTGAGAAGAACATTGAAGGCAAAACAACAAGAGCTGTTGATCTTGCATGACAAACTGACACAACATCACTCAATGACCAGAGAAAGTATGGTGGAGACTTGTAACAATCCCCCCCCCCCAGATATACTTATGGGGTTCCCATGTTATTTTCAATAAAAATCATTGTTTTGTTTTTTTAAATGGCATAAATAAATAAAAACTAAGAGCAAGCAATTTGAAAATTATGTGTTATATTCAGGCTTTTATAAACAAGCTTAACTTGTGAAGACAGCACTTTGATTTTTCTTTAACAATTTTCCTTTCTTTGGGAAAAAAAAAAAAAAAGTGATGCAGCGAGATAAAATTCTACCAAAGACACAGACAGAGAATAATCAATGACATATTTTTAAAATATTGGGTGGATGTGGGTGTGCCGGGTGGGGAAAACCCCACTCGGCACACCCACAGGTCGCACACCCACGGGTGCGACCTGGCCATCCTAACCCATAGTAATTTAAAGATCAGGAATCTACGAGTTCAAAAAAAAGAAAAAGTTTCTCCATGTCGATCTAGAAGTTTTAAAACTTTGGGAAACATTAAAAAGAAAAACTGGAACTGTCATCTCAAAGGAAACTGCCCTTCCTTTGTCTGCACAATTTCTTACACAGCTTATACACAAAACTCAGAATTTTAAGATGAATGGATTAATAAATGAAATTATTCCCATTATGGATAAATGTTGTGAATCTACCCCCTCCTCACCCCCAATCATTTGGTGTGTAAAATTCAGCGAGAATGTCATTTGAAAAGCCAGAACTGAGCAATGTTGGATAAATTAGTTTTAAAAACAAGTTTTTGTTATTGAAGACAAGTGTGGTCTCCCTTAATAGCCTTATTAGAGATTCGGTTAATGAATTCTTAATAGGGATATTTTTCAAAGCTTTATAGTTACTGGTATCTTCATCCTTATTGCAGATATTATTAACTCATGCTTAAATTGAGTCAGCATTTATTTGGATTGTAATTTTACTCAAAGCTACAAACAGCTCCTCATATATGCACAAACCCCAAAATATCTACCTTTATTTAAGTCCAACTCTTCATCCTCCTCTTCTTTCTTCTCGGGTTGGCTGTCATTTGTTTCGGATGCCACCCACTGGATCTCTCCTGATGTCTCTTGCCACTCTCCGCTTTGGTCTAGTGCCGGTTTGGGGGCCTCACTGATGAGGTCGTCAGTCTTTGCCTCAGCCAGGATGGCAGCACGCTCCCTCTCAAGGAAGAGCTGGGATTCCAGGGGAAATAAACAGATGTGAACTCCAAACACAAGCCAAAAAACAGGAGCCAAGTAACACAGCAAATTTTTCATAATTCAAAGGGAATAAAAGAGTGGCAGTTTAGCTTGACAGCAAAGGTATTTCATCTTGGCAAAGTTAGGAAGCAAATAGGCATGCCAAATACTGTGAAACTAGCCTGTAATACTTGGGCATGAAAAGTAATTTTGAGGTTAATTGCCATTTTTTTCTTTAAAAGTTTCCAGACTTTTTGAAAATCTGCAAGAACTCTGGCTGCAGTGACATTGATTAAAAAAGAAAAACCTAAATAAAAACCTAATTTTGAAATTTTAATCCACAAACAAGCAAGCATTTACTTACACTTGCTTATTACTTAATACTGTGTGCAAACAGAGGTGTGCATTTAAAGCAGTGAAGAGATGTTTAACACTCCCGAGAAAGATGTGTTACCAGGTAAATGAGTGGTTCACGAGTTCTATGATACAGACAAAAGAAATTGCAACACAACACCCAATCACTTTGTTTCTGCTTAAATTAAGAATAGGAAAGATGTATTCAGCTCTTTAAACTGTATTAAACTATTGTTTTGTGGGGGTTTGGTTTGTTTTTTTAAACAAAAAGACAAAAGAGAGCCACATCCAGTGACTGCTAAAATATTGATGTATGAGTTCTGGCACAGTTCCTACCTTCACCAGGGCAGCCAAAGCACCGCAGGACTTGGGCTTGTCAGCCGTATCTGCCTGAGTCTCAGCTGACTCTGCCAATGTGTCAGATTGCGTTGGGTCAGCAGGCTGCATGAGGCTGTCTTCCAGACAGGTGTCGTCGACATTGTACTCCATGTCCACCAGACAGTGGCGGTTTCTGGAGCTGTACTCCACAAGGTTAATTAGTAGACCCAGACCCTGGTATACACCACAGAATACACAAATGAGACATTCACATACATACATAAACTTACCAAACAGCGTGTCAGCAACTGTGCCGTTGCGAAGATGTTTTCTGTTGTTGAAGAGAACCTTACCAGCACACGCACGTCAAATCGCTGCTCCTGGGGGATGTAGCGTGGGACTTGAAGGACACAATTTAGAGCAGTCACTATTAGCTGATCCTGTTCACCCGTCTTAGTGCTTCCCCACTCTGTAGGCAAAAATAACCTTATTATTAACCTCTGCTCACACATGTCAACATGATTCCCTGCTAAGCACCTGAATATTATAGCTCACGGTACAGACTATAATCATACAAGATACAACTGAATTCTAGCTGACCACATTAACACGAATATATTCATTTTGTACAGAAGTACACAATGAGCCATTTCATCTTTGTATATTTATAGAACTACAATCCAAACAAAAAAAACTACAGTAAATTGAGTTTTTGCAGTTTTCCATAAATAGTATAAGAAAAGAAAAAGGAATGAGAATACCATTGTCATGGGTAAGGTTGAGCAGCACTCCAATAACAGCCCTCATACAGTCCTCCACCGCCTTTCCCACATTTGTGAAGCTGCAGTGAGGCAGTGCAGCAGCCGATGAAGATAGAGAGGTGTTGTTTAATGCCCTGCTGTACCGCTGGATCATATCCTCACAGTATCGCAAAGCTCTGATAAAAGTAAGAAAAAGATATTGTTGACAGAAAGTAAAAAGTGACATAACAGAAATAAAGAAAAATATTAAAGTGCAGAGTGGAAAGATAATCCTAAATGCAGAAAGTGCAACGAGCTTGAGCACAATTGATCTTCGATATACTGTGTTCATGAATGCAAACTAAGAAGAATCCATGGTTAAAACTAAGATGTAACTTTTGCTATCAATTTTAGAAACCACAGACCTGGTTATCGGTGTGGTTACCTTTATCCAAATCTATTATCCTAGGATTATTTTTATTTGCCCTAATGTTGTTTTTGATGGGCATGAGAAGCTTTAGAATTGCCCCGAGGTGATGATGAGTAAAATGATCTTACAAAAAGTAAAAGAGACAAAGTGAAAAGGACCTGTTGTCACGATAGCCACTGTGTCCCAGTATGTCTGTAGACAGTCAATAATAGCTGTAAGCAGTAGCTGGTGCTCACCTGGCAGAGGAGACAATAAGCTGAGAGTCTTTGTAGGCAATCAAGTAACTCTGATTTTCAGGGTTCTGCACTGTAACCTGTTGGCAGGAGATGAAAGAGAAATGAAATCAATAGAGGGAAAAAGTACACCAAGAACCTTGAAAACAAGACAAGAAACACAAAATTAAGGGAGACCCTTTATGTTTAGCTCGGAAAGCTGAATGGCATTTTAAGATATAGCTGATAAAGACACATTCAGTGCTTTAAGCAGAGGCATTTAATCGGGTAACAAAAGTCACCAGCCAATTCACAGCTTAGTACTCAATTACTGTTGTCCTTGAGGCTCACTCTAGTGTGACTTTGGTGCAAGAGAGAATCCAACTTGACAGAACTGTACTTACACTTTCAAGCACTCTCAGACACCTCTCAGCCCCCCATAAAGATGCTACAAGGTTCTCCTTGTCATCCTCTTGGCTCAGGTTGTCAACACACTCTTTCACTGTGGCAATGCAACACACACGACATGTGGCAATTACAAACCGTGACAAACAAAATCGTTGCATAGGTATACACATATGCACTGTACAGCATGGCTTTGAGCACATTAGTATCCAACACCCACCTTTGTCAACAATATGGTCCAGGCCTCCCAGTAGCCGGAGCTCCTCTTTGAACCAATCACCAGCTCTCTTGGAGGTTAACGACAGAAGTGTCTCCATGGCAAGGTGCCCTGTCTGCAGGGATAGAGGACAGAAGCATGTTTAAAAAAAACATCACTGGAATTTTATGTATGCTTGTATTACAAACCCACTATTGTAAAAGTCGTCTACACTAAAACACACATTTTCCCCCTAATTAAGCTTGATAAGAAGAAATATAAACCAGTTCACCAAGAAAACATTACTAGGTAGTAAAGCATATGTAATATTAATGCTGTCATTTTATCAAATCAGCAACTTTTCTGACTGAAATATTGTCGATCAGTTGTGACAGGTCAAAACTGACAGCTGAGCTGCAGTAAGATTAGTGTATTTGCATGCAGAAGGGGGTGCATACAAAGAGGTCAGACTGACATATTTTTATGAAAAACCTTTCCATTAAAGTAGTTTAAAAATGTACATAGTGTTGCTTATTCAATAAATATATGAACAAGAGACTGTGGTTACTGATTAATCCAAGATTCACCAGTTATGTGATGATGTTATGATCTCTTTATTGATGGACAACCTACCGTGATGTTTTCTAAGTCAAGGTGCTTGTTGTGCACAGTCTCGCACAGTTTCCTGATCTTCTCTTTGACCTTTGCCATCTCCTTTGCTGTGAGCTGATCCTGGTGACCCGAGTAGTCCTGGTCTAGTTCCAGCAGCTTGATCATTAGCTCCAGACATGCCCTGTCCAGATCCATGTTAAGACGATCCCGGCTCAAAATGTACATCAGTGCAGCCGTGCACAGAGCGAGGTTCTGATAAAATGACAGATCAGGTTTTACAAAGGGGTGCAGGCAGTGTAGATCATATGGAGAAAGCTCTGGATCAGTAAGAAAAAGCTTATTGTGTGTCACTTTCACTACATAGTTCTCAAAATTACAAAATTTATACTTAGATATATATAAAAACAACATGAGTTGATTCAAAGTGCTATTCAGTCAAGGATTACAACCAGAATACAAAGAATATGTTAAAAACAGCACCAAGAGAAAAACAGAAAATACACACAAAAGAAATAAATAAAATAAAGATTAAGACAAACTGACATCAAAAAAGGTCCATCCGGTCACAAATACTGCCATATCATAAAAACATAATACCCACCACAAGCTCTTCGCTTATTTAAAGGAAAGACTAATATATTTTAAGACACTACATTAACAACAGAAAACCTACTTGTTGAGCAAAAAATAAAATCACAAACCTATTTATACGTGTGCATATCTAACCCTGGGATGTCATTTGAATAACTACTGAGGTCTCCTTGCACTCTTCTTGCATTTTGATAATTTAATACCGAAGAAACAGGGCTCGTGATTCAACACTTCATCTTAGATGGAAAAGTAATGGTTCATGTCACAAAATAAATTGTGAAAGCACAAGTTATTCAAACATTGTATTACCATCTGTCAAAACTTCAAGGGAGATGATAGAAAGAGATTGTGGCAGGAGGTGACAAAAAAATAATTAATTAAAAACAAAACTTTGACTGACCGGGTGTTGTGGAGCATCGTTGAGCATTTTGAAGACCTGTGCGACTTTCCCTCTTGCCCTCAGGTGCATCCTGAAACTGGGCATGGCACACCGTGTGGCCAGGCTGATTATACTGGAGAAATGAGGGAGGAAAGTGGAGAATAGAGGGAATGTTAAAGATAGATTTATGACAATGAAATCAGCCTACTTTTAAATTAAAATGTCACAAATGGCAAACTAAAGAAATATAGGGAAAGATTTAAAGACTAAGGCTTCAATGTTGCCCATGCTATGCATCAATCCAATGTTCTAATGGTATAAAACAACAACAGCCTGACTTTGGCTTTCTGCTGATGCACAGCATGGATCCAATGCAAGCATTAAATTATTAAGCTGTTTTTCTCAGTGTGAGAAAGAGACTGGGAATGATTCTTTTATGTGTAAGGAAATGTCAGTGTTGACTTAAACATCACCTTTCTAATTCTGTAACTTCATATATCACAAATAAAAAAAAATGTCCAATTTATTCAATAGGTAGCAATAAGTAAAAACAAATAAATACAAAAAAAAGACTATAGGACAAAAAAAAAAATACAATGTAAAACTAATTTAGTTTATTATTATAGTTAATTATAATTTTATTATCATCATCATCATCATCTCAACTCATTATGACAGTTATTTGAAGCTCTTCAGTCATTACTTGACCAGTTTGATGTACAACATAGTAAACATACAGTGAAAACTTGTTGGTGTCCCAGGTGTGAGACACGTTCAGAAGTGCTAATGTTTTACATATATTAGCCCAGACATAATGTAAATATCGGATTGGGTGTGGTGTATGGCCACACATTAACTACCTGTACTGCATTTCTAGTTTAAATTATGAATAAAATCACTTAAATCCTATGAAAACATTGGATAAGAAGTGTGATTTACATCATAGTTTCAATGTTTTAACTAAATGTGATTTTGTTATCACATTTAGTTAATCAGTGACACATGATCAATAATTATTTTTTCATGGTTTCAATGAGAGAGCAATGCTGTGAAAATGAACGCAGAACAATATTAGTTTAATCTTGGATATTTTTTTTTTTTATTATTCATAAACGCTGCAAGTGAAAAATCACAATTGGAAGTAAAATGTGATTAACAGGCTGAGGCACAACGGTGAAAGGGAGGCGAGCAAATGCAAAGGGACAGAAATGATTGAGAACTTTAGCTACACATGAAGTCTCTGGGCTGGAGTGCAATTCAATTAAAATTGATCATCTGTGCTTGTTTTTAAAGTATTAACTCTGCATTTTCTACCTCCTACTACTTTGTTGCAAGAATAATAACTTACTTTATGAATTTTGGTTTTAGGTACTTTTATGAAATATTAACTGGCATATGCTTGTACCAGTCACTGAACTTTGTAAACTAAGTAACATTTAGCAAGTCACAACAAAGAAATTAAAATCAGACCAAATATAGAAATGTTCCTCTACAACACAAAGAAAAATTCCAAGCTGGTTATTAAACTTACCTAAGGCATCTTGTGTTGAGCGGCTGACTACTCTTGAGCCCCGTCTCCAGGTACTCAAAATCATCTGTGAACTCTTGATTCTCTCCAAACTCCACCACATCGTTGAAGTGTTTCACATGCTGCACCACAGTATACAGCTGGTAGTAAGGGAAATGGGGTTAATTGTAGCTAATTGAGAAGCACTGCATCTGTCCAGACCCTCAAATTGCTCACACACACACACAGCAAATTGCTCACATTTCTAAATTCCTCTATTGGTTTCACAGCCAGCAAAAGCTTCAGGTCAGTATGATCAGCAGTTGACACTGTATGTATATCTATATCAGCAGTCACACTGTGAGGGGGCTCAGCACGACACAGGATGGAGGACCTGGGTTTATAACAGAATCAGTGTGTGGTGACAGCTTAGTGTAGCTGAAGCCATTTAACCTCAGGGGATCTGTGGCTAACAGCCTGATCTGGGGCCAGAAGGCCCATCTGTAAATGACACAAGCTGTATGGGAGTAGCACTGGCACACATCAAATGAATGCCAACCCTTCACTGGCTGAGTGTTTAAAAAGGAAGGGGGGAAAAGGGGGGGCTAGGGGTAATTCATACTGGCAAGCAAACAAAATGTGAAGTAAAAACTGATCAGAAAGATTTATCTAACAACTGCTGTTACTCAGCAAATCTGTGTAACCTGGACTCACCTCCTTGTCTTCTTTTCTGCATTTGAGTGCTGTGACAATATCCTGGTTGAGTCGTGTGGGGATGGTCTCTGACTTAATGACTTTGGGTGGCGGTGGAGGAGCTTTGAACAAGCCGTCATCTTTATGGGAGTTGCTGTCCTTGCTGCTGCTCGATAAAATAGCCTAAGGACAAAAAAGAAGCTGAGAAACGGGGCTCATACCAAAGCAACAAAATCTGTTTAATGACATGTCCACAAGATTTACCACAGCTGAACAGTCTGTTAACCACACAAGTCTTTAATAAGTGCTGTTAACAGATGTCAGACGAGGTAGTGCAAAGTTAACAATAACTTTTAAATCCCAGTCGCCAGAGTCTGATTAGCTAGTCTCTAAACAAACATTATTTCCATTGGGGTAATTCAATACAAAACATACAAGCAAACTTCACTTGCCTGGAAAAGTAATTTCACTTGAACAGCAATACTAATTAGAGCAATTAATACAGAAATTGTTGACTACTAAGAGACCAGTAAACAGTATCCTAATATGTGGACATTAAGAACACAAACACAAATAAATGGCGCTAGTTAATAGCATTTTCTTTACATAATAACCCAGTAATAGTGTTTACCCTCTCTGTGCAAAATGAATGTATACACCCTAATGAGAACTTTAAACATACAAATACACTCTTTACTCACAATGACAGATTTACATTTTTGTTCCAGTTCCTGACAAGTAAACCAAGCAGTAACCTTGCTGAAAAATTAAGACGAGGGGAAAAAAAACTGTGGCTTCTCTTATAGCAATTTGAGTTTGGCTCCAAAATTAATCAATGTGTGATTGACTTGTGGTATTTTAAAAAGAACACCTGGCACAAAGAACAGATTTAGTCTACATAGCCAACTTCCTCCCCCATAATATCTGATTTTTTAATAGCTCACATTGACATTTTATTATAGCTTAAAACTGAAAGGCGTGCTAACATTAGCTACAGTGGATTTTGTGCAATACTTTACCTCCAGTACTCAACTGGACTAGACTGAACTTTTGAAGCATTTTTAATGTACTTATCTGATGAGTAATATGGCTTGCCAGGTGGCACAGCCCATCCGAAAAGTTTGATATTCAGTTTCAGTGACTGAAATTCAAGTATTATAATTCTGTTAATAAGCAGATACCCGTGTTTGTGCTTTGCTAGGATCAGCTGATGATTTAGCACCCCACCAACTGGCCTAAATATGGTCTCTACATCAACAAAGTCAACATACCAGCAGCTAAAACACAAATATTATGGCTTCAAAATGCAGGTTTAAGAAGCTAATAGATGATGCCACATTCTGTCCATCTTTTACTAACAGTCTACAGTCTACAGGCAAAATACAGTATCTTACCGGAGCAGTCTGAGATCGAGAGACTGGAGGCACAGGCATTTCTTCAGGTTCGTGCTGGTTCCAGTGGCGAGCATTGTACACAGCTTTAGCAGGAGACTGAAACACAGCAAGAACTTAAAAATTTGTCAGTTAACTAAACGGATACACATATTTAGTGATTACTAACAGCTGGCATAAGAAAATACTGATGGTGCTTTCAGATTGGTGCATTTCAGTGATGACAATTTAAAAAAAATAAATTAAAAAAATTACAACAACAACCTATATGCCAATATTTTATTCTCTAAAGAATACCACGTTCCAGCTGTAAATGAGCAGAACTGAACCCATAAACACTGCATGCTGAATTCATGTTGATAGACTAAGACAACAGCAGCCTCAGTGTAGAACACAACACTCCCCAAGCAGCACAAAACATTTCCTGAAAATGACAGATTGTGAAACTCAATTATATCGTACAAAGACAATGTAGGAAGTTTTGCTGAGGAAGTAGAAAGAATAACTACACAGAATTAGTAAGACAGACTACAAATAACCCAAAGCCACTTCAAAACATGATCTAGATAAAGAGAGAAAATGTGGGCATTACACAAAACAGCACAGCATTACAAATCAAAGCAGAGTTATGAGAAAATATGTGCCTGATGAAGAGGTAATATCCAAATCCCCTTCAAAGTGGAAACCCATGCATGCTACTGAACGCACATTTATGGGATTCAAATGAGACGGCTGTCAAAAGTTATTCCCTGGGCATCACAGTTCAATGCCTTAAGTCTCTGACTGTAGTTCTAACCTGCATCACTGCTGAATCACAGAATTGGATTACATAAAATGACAACCATATAAATTTAGTTTTCAGTCGAGCCTCTTACCCGCCCACTTGCTCTATTTTTCTCTGATGCTCTCCTCACTCTCGTTATCTCAGGCTATTTTCAGACAAGCTGGGCATTCTGTTATGTAAATGTCATCTAAACATCAATAAGCCAAGACGTGTCAGACCTGCTTTAAACCCTGGTCAGGAGTAAGGTCATCAAAAGTGCTAGATGACTTGTACTGAGACACTTAGATTGATCAGACTGCAGTTAAAAGGTTTGTGCCTATCCCTTGTCTATGCAGTTGTTAAAAAAAAAAAAAAAAAAAAAAGTCTCATGGGCAAATATTCAAAGACACTGGATGGCACAGGACAAAGAAAACATTTGGTTGAAAAGCGAGCCAAGAAACACACGGCCAATTTTAAAACATGCTTAAATACCTTTTTGGGTCCACTGAAAATCTTTTTCAGTCCACTGCCGACGTCCTTGGATTTGTCACTTGGCTTCCCTGAGCGTGCTTTCTGGCCCTCGGTACCACCAGGACTTGAGTCATCGGAAAAGTCAAAGGCATCTGCTGGATAAACCAGATTGTTGATGATTAAAGGGGAAAAAAAAAAAAAAGCATGAGTTTGTAAATGGATGGAATATTAACCAAAGTGGGTCATCCAAGCACTTCTAATTTAAAGAGAGGTTTGAAGTTTATGTCGTTACATTGGATCATGCAATAAAATGACAATTACACCAACACCAGATCTGTTTTTAAGGACTGCTTTTACCTGTATTACTGCTAGCATGACTGTCTTGAGAGTCACTGGTATGAGGGCTATCCACGCTGGAGCTCAAAGCAGCTAAGGCTGCGGCTGCCTTCCTGGCCTTCTTTTCTTTGGCTTGGGAGCTCTCATCATCACTGTCACTCTCACTCAGGTCATCAAAGCCAAAGTACTTGATCTTGTAGCTACTCTTGCCAGCTTCTGAACCCTCCTCCCCCTCCTGGTCCTCTTTGTCCTCAAAGCCAAAGAACTCTAGCTTGGTCTCGGTCTTGGTCTTCTTGGTCTTTGTCTGTGTGGGTCTGAACCTACAAACAAGAAGAATTTTTTTTTTTTTAGATTATTTTGTTTTGAAGTATTGTGCCTTATGGGATTTTTCAAAGGAGATAGAAACTGAAGCAGGACAAAGAAAAAACTCTTTTGTAGAAACAAAGAAAAGAAAATGGGATTTCAAAGTGGGTGCCTAAAATTACTTAGCTGAGTGAATAGAAAGCTTTTTTGTCAATAAATGTTACTGTTTAGAGACATCTAAAAAACTGTAGACTTTACAATATAGAACAAACACTAATGCACGTTTCTCCAAATAGTTGATGTCAATAGTTTAGTTTAAAAATAATTCTTATCAAGTTAATTCCGTATAAATGGCTGACATGAGATGAGATCACACACACAATGACACAGACAGAGCACACATTTTTGCCACCATCTGCCATTTTGACTTGTTAGAGGGGATTTAACATTAATCTAACAAACTAAAGGTTCACTCCCTGCTGCCTCTCTTGCCACTGGTGATTCAATCTGACCTGCCTCTCAAAAGCAATGAAATGAAAGCGCAAGAACATATCAAACTTCAAAGTATGACCCGAAACTTTGAATTTTAAAGCCAGGGACACATCAAGGTAAAGCACATTCTTTCAGAGCAAAAGTCTGGCCAATACTGTATAACAATACGATACATGAAAGCATAATCTAAGTGCCAAGGAAATCTTTATTAAACCTGAACTTCAGTAGCGTCTGCACTTTGTTCCTCAGAATATGAATGAATGACATTTTTATAAGACCCAGTACTAGTGAGAGATAAAGCAAAGTGTGTATGAGCACACAATGAAGTAAGATATAAGGTAGTATGTATTATTATATTTAAATTACTAACCTACCACATGATGGCTGCCTTATGGTATCGTGTATACACGGTAATAAATATTTAACCTGAAAATATTTACTACAAAAACAAAATCTTGAATGACACAAGAAAATATACTCAAGTCACCCATCCATGTAATTAGCAATGGTGGATAGGCTACAATTGTTTAAATAAGAATTCAGAACATAGTATTTTGAGAATTCTCCCTGCAATGTGGCTTTTAAGACACAGAACTATCAGCCTTACCTAGTAGGTTTGGGTGGTGGTGTATCTGATTTCTTCTTCATCTGCCCTGCTTCTCCAAGGTCAGCTGGGGGAGCGAGGCTGACCAGTTCGTCAATGCTCCGCTCCATTGAGTCCTGGATGGTGACATTGCACACTGACAGGCAGGAAGGGTGGAGAACCGTGTAGTCCCGTACCCTCCCACCACCCCTTCCCACAGGCTTGGCTGCTGTTTTAGCACTGGCAGCAGTACTACTTGCACCAGCAGAAAGGGCACTGTTGGGCTTATCTTGGGCACTTGCACCATCAGTGGACTTGTTGCTGTTACTTTCTGCAAGTTCAGACGATGATTTGTCAGGACGGCCTGGCCGCTGGTATTTTTTGCAATTTGAGGCCCTCAGGGTAAATGGGGAAGGGGGAATATTGTCCACTGGCTCTGGTGGGGCCTCCGCTGAAGGCTCCACCTCTGCACCTTTCATTTCATCTGACAGCAAGCCATCACAAGAAGATGAGGATTGGAAGTCCCTGCTACCACCTGGCACATCAGTGAACAGTTTAACAGATGTGTCTATATTAGGAGAGGAGGAGGTGGACCTCTGGGAGAAGTTCTGATCATCAGAGAGGACTGTGCTTGACAAAGAGGTCCCCCATGCAGGTTTCTGGCTGCTCTGTGATTCACTTTTGTACCACGGCTGGTTATTTTTACCTACCTTCTCCTCTGTTTTTTGTTTGCCTTTGAACAAAAGAGAAGATAAATGCAGGTTTGTTTAAACAAAAGACAGGAACTACTATGCTTCTATAATAGTTAGAAATCACTGTAAAACTTAAATAAGCAGGTTAAAATAAATTTGGATAAGGAGTTTAAAAAAGTGCATGGAAAAAAATGAAAACTTACTCGTGAATGTGGCTGTTGAACATGCAGAGGACTGTGCATAAGTCACAACAGCGGCTGTCCCAGTGCTTTGCACTGTGGTGGTCTTCATCACCTCCCCTTCAGCAACTTTTGCCTGCGACACGTTGTGGGAGGTTACAGTCTTGGACTCTTCATCACTGTCAAAGCCAAACGGGTCTTCCTCACTATCACTGTCCTCAAGCCTGGGCCTTTTGGGGACCTCAGAAACGTCAGGTTTTAACAAAGGCCGTTTGGCTCCGAGCTGAGCCTTGTAGGTGGTCTCCCCCCATTTGGTGGTCAGAGTGGGCTTTTTATTGGAAAAGACCTCCTCAAATTTCGAGTTAGCCTCCCCACCTTTGCGGTTGTACGTTTTGCCGAATCTGGATGTCATGTTGGCTGCTCTATGTTACATATTCCCTGTGAACAGCAGCAGAGACAATAAAACATTTACTATACCAATAGATCATCAAGAACATTATAATCTGCGCACTTAAATTGATACGAACGACTTAGCAAAGGAGTGTTTAAAAAAAAACATAAAACAAAAACAGGCTGTAATCGTCATGAGTGGTTTGGGGAATGTTATTTATATTAATCCGGCTAAGTTATGTTTCAGCTGTTGGCTGGTAGCGCACAAAGTTAGCATAGCTAGCTCAAGCGGTATAGCTTTCCAAACCATCATCGGTAAATGTGAGCAATACGACAGAAAGCGTGAACGATTTAGAGCAACTTTAATACAATTTGAAACTCTTTACCTATCAGCACATACTTACAGGACAGCTAAGTACTGTGTTAACTCTAGCTCAGTCAGCCCTTGTTTGTAAAGTTAACTACTATAAAGTTAGCCACTAGCCATTAGCTTAACATGGCTAACTATGTTAACGTAAGTCTGTTTACATTTCTCACCTGGCTGCCTCAAATGTCAGAAACCTTGCGTTTGAAACAAGTTTTAGTCTTTTGACGTAATGGTCTGAATGGAAATACTATGGTGCAGAAATCGTCCGTAATTACAAATGAGTAATAATGCAGTGTTACCTTTTAACTCCAGCGAAAGGCTAACCGTCCGCTTGTTTTTTTTAGCCAGCCGGCTAGGCCTGATTTCCCACTCGCACACAAATCAAGCGGGTAAAGTCCGCTCAGCAGAGTACAAACACCATTACAAAGACATCTCTATTCCGAATATGTCCACGCAGCGATGCTTATCAACACAGAAATGCGTACTTAACGCATCGGTGCCTGTAACAGTCTATATATGGTAGATAATCCGGACTTTTTGCATTTTGTAGTGCTACGGACGGCCATTAAAATATCCCCTCCCTCCTCGATGCTTGGCAAGACCCTCATGTAAAGGGCTGGTCGAAGGCAATCGACCAACCAGCAACAGGAAAGGTTTCCTGTGCGTTGAGACTTTGTGAGCAAACGCGACTTCGATTGGTTTAAAAATTAAACCAAAACAAACAATAGGGGGCGCAAGAGGACCACATTAGTTGGGTTGAACTTGAAGACGTGCCAAAGAGAAGCTAAATGAACGGCCGTGATCGGCATTAGTTCTATCCATAGACCTTCTTTGGGAAAGAACAGATGCAATATTAAAAAATGGTCACTCAATATTTGCATCGGTCCACTCAATTTATACATTTGTGAACAGCTTAAAGGGTCTAATTTCCGAATCTAATCTTCTAATGAAACCCTTTACACATGCAATACTGTGTAAATTCCACCTCTCATTTATATTTGTGTGTTTTTCCATGCAAGTATGTTTTACTACATTAGCAGTGAGTTTGGATTGTTTTTATGCTGCAAAATTAAACAGTTATTTTTCATTAAACAGATGCTTTTCAGTATTGCAAGGCAGGTCTGCATTCATATTGTGATACATTTTGACAAGATCATTAACACCGCCGGGTTGCTGTGTCTGGTCTTTGCTTAAATATTGTTTCCTATTTCTTAAGGACATGACTTTCAGTTACTGTTCATTTAATGTAGGCAGTTTTTAGGCCAGCTATTTCTTTTGTCCTCCACTTATCCAGCTTTATCAATTTTTTAGGACACCCTTGACACCATGTTGAGGTATGCAAAATTGTCTAATATATGAAGATAAACACTGGCTGTTCCCTGCCCTTTTATGTTTGAAAGACCTTCAAATAGCCTGAAGAACTCATGAAGAAAAGAGTAGTGGCTCGAGACTTTTGCACAGCACTGCTGAGCCTTTTTAATTTTATTTTTTGGACCCAAATGTAAAAGTTCGTTGTGTTGAGGATGTGTTTTAATGGGGCCACTTGCAATTATGTCTCAAACAAAAAGGCACATGATGGCTACACACACTTAGATTTAAGTGAGAAAATTAAAAAAATATATTTGAAAGAGCCAGTGCTTTAATCCAGGAAAAACAATCTTCTGTAATTACTTCAAATTAGGATACTTAAGGTAATACATCCAAACAGGAAGAATTCCAATTTTCACAGTATTTTTATCTTGATTTTCATATCAGACACATGGAAGAGTGTTATGTTACTTAAATTCTTCTAGTTGTTTTCTTAGCATAACATAATATCTTACACGATCAATATAAATGTTGTTGTATGCTGCCAAATCTGATTGTTCTATACCCAGTGGAGTGAATTTTTAAACACATCCAACATACTGTAAACAGAAATCATGTATATATCACCCACGCTGGCACTAGCCTGAGGCACAGATGGTGTCAAATGAATACATAGTTCGTTCCAACAGCCTGGGTCTTCAGGGCCAAGTGGTCCCAACTGTATCAACACTGAACTGAGCATTACTCATCCAGAACAAACCTCACAACATCTCCTTAAAAGCATGAAAATCTTTTGTGGAAATGGCTGGCCTCAGTTCAGAAACAGCAAGACACTAATTTCCCACAGGATCCGCCTGAAATGTTTGAATTTCAGATGGATCCCACCCATTTCACTTAATGAAAAAAGTAAATAACACAAATAGTGTTAATATAATATTGTGATTGGGAAACAGCTGTCACACTAATTAATCTCCTGATATAAACTACAAACTGTCAACATAATACACTGACATATTTTTTAGTTTATCGGAGGATTCATAGACCACAATTAGCCAAATGTTTAGTCACTTTGTTTCCCGTGATTATTTTTGTAACATTTGGACAAACATAACATGGTTGATCATTAAGAGGCTGATAGATGAAACCTAATTACAGTTAAACATACAAACATTTGTATGTATTTGGGCCAGAAAAGAGACAGTCAGTCCACATCAAAAGCCCAGAGGTGGTGAGGTAATACGACCATGTTTGACTGATGGTTCTGAGCTCAGGTCTTGGCAATCTGGCAGTCATGACTTCATTAACGAGCAAACTTTACAGCTCATTCAAATGCACCGTATGTATTCTGTAACCTCTGGATGTTTTGCAGTCTTGGAGCAAGTGAGTCACAAACCTGTGGCATCGCCAAGTGAAATGCAAACATTGAATTTCAATGCTGAGTGTAACATCTGTCCAAAATGTTCACAGCAAAGTTGGATTTTTAAACTAGAACGACAGACTGCAACACTGAGACAAATCCATGAGATGGCAGCAACACTGCTTAGTGCTTATAAATGTAGTATATGTCATTATCAAATGTATTAAAATGTCCATTATGTCATTTAAATAATGTTTAATTACGTTATACACCTTTGGGCTACTTGACATTTGAAAGGATGACTTTGTAATATAGCTTCCATGTGCTTTGTGTAAATGGAAAATTGGGCAGTTGGCGAGATAAAGCTCCACAAGCTATTGGACACATGGTCTGCAATTTAAAAGTAAAAACTAGGAAGCCGACCACTGCATGACAAAATATGTTCTACTGTCATTTAGACTTACTCGTAAAGCTGTTGAAGTGCAATTTTATCTTCTAATACATGCAGCATAATAGATGGTGCGTTTGACTTTGTATTGTATAGCTTGAAGCTGCAGTTGCAGGTCTCATGAGGTTTACTTCACTATATGTGGTAAACAAAAATCTCCACCAAAACATTAAATGTATTTATGCGAGCCCCACATCTGTGACCACTGCATCATGGGTCGGATCTCAGTTTGGGTCGGATCTCAGTTTGGCTCGCACTCCTGTCTCTGAGGTCAGTCTGTGGAGACCCTGTCCCAACAATCACACCAGACCACTATCAAGCCCATATGAAGGCAATAAAAGCAAATTTAAACCAGATCCCAACACGCTCCATGTCCCTCTTTCTGTGTGCATATGCACGAGAGAAATTAGTTACTGATTACTTTTTTCAAGTAACTTGGCCAACACTGTTTATGTGTGTATTAAACTGAATGAAAGAGAGCTGGAAAGAGCATTTTTTAAAAGGCAGTAAGCAGAGTGTCAAAGCAAATGGAGGTAAAAAACCTTTATTTTCTTCTCCAGTATACATCACATAAACAACAAAGTATTTCTACAGTACTTTAAAAAAAAAGGGGGGGAGTTTAGAAAACAACAATTTTACAAATATGATTTGCTCAGCAAGTCGCTTAAAATTGCTTCAAATTTCAGTCAGCCTGACTGAGCAACAGTACATTAAAAAAACAACAACAACAACAACAAAACGAGTAAGCAGGTGAAAACACTATGCCAATGACTATTTTTTTTAAGGTTTAAGAACACACAGTAGTAGCTTTGATCAAAGCATTAAAGTCTAAACATGAGAACACAGGGAAAACATAGTACAGCGCTGCTTTTAAAGCATCCGTACAGTCATTCCTTTCAAGGCAATGCCAGAATTTTCCTGGATGTGAGGCACCACCGGCCTTTGGCCACAGGGAGAGGGTGCGTCAGTAAAAAACCCCTCCGATATAAGGTCCACTGGTGATAAGTAAAAGCTAGCTCCAGCAACTGTGGTGTGATTTCTGGAGGGTCAAGGGTCAATTTCAATGGGAACAACAGTGAGGATGGCATCTTCATTGCCACGGCGCACAACCACTTTTAAGGTGTCATCTCTCTTGATGGCGGCGCTGACATCGGTTGCTGTTGAAATCCTATGGCCGTTGATCGAGATGATGACATCATGCTCTTTGAGTCCAGCGCTGGAGGACAGAAGAAGAAAGAATGATTGAGGGGTTCATAAATGGAAAAACATGTGCGAATAGGATGATCTTTGTTTTCGGAGCCCGGCTATTCTAGTTGAGTTTTATGACATCAAGGCACAGTTTTAGCCTCTGAGGAGGTGTACAGATGTTTATCAAGTCCAGCTGTTCCATGTCACCTTCTATCACTGTATACACTATTTTTTTTCTATGTTGACTAACAGAGCACAAAATACTGTAAAATCATAGGAACGTAGGAAATAAAAATGTCAGTCCACTGGTTTTATCCTATTGTTAATAAATCCCATACCAATCACTGAACTGATTGTTATTCTTTATTTCCACGTATATGAACTGAAGCTTATATTTGGTCATCCTCCATTGTGTTACATTTTAAGAAAATCTGTGATGTTTTTAAATGAATTAAGCTATTAAAGTAATCTGAATGATCAAATGAAATAAATGTTCATGGGTGTAGATGCCTTAACACATTAGTGGTTTAGTTTTATGACAATTTATACATCTTCTTATGTAATTTAACTATAGTTCCCTCTTTAGATTTCAGTGGAAAGAAAATATAGAGGTGAAATACTCTTCATTTTACATAGCCATAATCAGCTATTGGTAGGATTGTTTCCAGGTCTGTGAGCCTCTAAATCAACAAAAAATAAAAACACATTGACTAAAAGCACACTTCCAATGTAAAAAACAAAGTAGTAAAATGGGGATCACGCACAGACTGAGGCAATAACCAGCAGTGATATCAAAAGCAGACTCTTAAAACAACTGCTTAATCATAGCCACATGTAAACATAGACCACCACACCTTCACTTGCAACAGCATCAATTAACGGAGCTGAAACTGGGATTTCAGTGCACTCGGTCACCACAGAAACAATCCCTTCCCTACAGAAGAATCAAGATTCCAAAGTCCATAAACCAACATAACACAGAGTGAGATCAAAAGTGAAAAAAGCAGAGCCTAGAAAAAACAAAACAGAGAATATAAAAGGAACCACAGAAATGTTATAATGCAAAAGGGTGGGTTATTTAAGCAATGAGTAAACACTGATGAAACCTTGTAGGACAGACCACTATATAGTGGGATGGGTGAGCAGGCGCAGGAAAACCACAGTTCAGCTACTAACCTCCCTGCATGAGGTTTGAAGGAAATAGCTGACCTCAGCGTCTCCCGCGCCCTACTCTGCTGGAGTTGTGGTGGTGGCTGATTGGAGTGGGCCGCAATTGTGGGAGGAGGGGGATATTTTAGAGGGCCAAGCACTCTAGACATGCTAGAGTGAGCCATTAATTCACATGCTAGTAG